CACACCCAAATCAATAAACATAATGTTTATTGATTTGGGTGTGGTTTATAATTATGACCGACGGACCAGCACTGATTTTGCAGCAAAGAACTCGAAGGTAGTGGTCTACACAAGAATATAACGGGATAAGAGAGCTGGATGGCTCCACTAAAGCTGCTAAAGATAGCTGATTAGCTGCTGGACACTGTAAAATGTATAAATACGTGGTCAATCGCCATAGCAACTATCTAAACCGTTTCCATGGAAATTCTTATTAGCATTCGCGAAAATTAGTTGTCCTACAGTAATAAATTTAAAGCTGAATAAAATACGTGTACCTTTAAGAGTCTCTCCAACTCCCTTTTATGCTGTTTGTGATACGTCTTGCAGTCTTTTATTAAATCAATCACGTTCTTCCTCTCTGTCACCTCAATGGCAGTACACTCTGTGAACTCTTGAAGCTTAACGGATGCGTTGTTGAAATCCTGTTTGAACTGAGCCCCTGCAGATTTATCTAAAAAGAGACAAATAAATGAATGATGGGTCAAAGACTTCCTCATACCCTTTAACTGAGAGAGACTACTAGTGCTAGATACATCAATGGGGAGCTGAGACAAAGCCGACGACTTGATCTTCATTTCTCCTTCAAACTTCCCCAACTCAACCAAGGAGTCTTCCAGCAAAGAAATCTGAACACACGTAAAGTAGAGAGTTATAGAGATACATAAAGTACAAGTAAACACATAACACTGTAATCCAATTACCCAAACCTCCAAACAAGAAAATGACAATAACTGCATGTACATGTACATGTATGGCATGCGGGTTGGTTAAACTAACCTTAAAATCAATTTTTTCCGACTGAGCTGCTACATTTTTACTTTCTAATACACACATAAAAGATCACATGACAATCATGTGATGAATATACTACATGTACATGTACCTAATATCTCATCAAGTTCGTTTAAGTACTCCTCTTCAAAGACACGCCTCTCTCTCCATATATGGATAATTCTTTCCACTGAAGTCTGAATCTTTAACCCTCTGCAAAAAACCAATTAAAAGTAGGCGTGGCATTACCTACCCTTATATCATACCTGACTAAAAATGTTGCCTGTTTGAGGCGGCTACTGAAAATTTCGGAGAAAACCGTAACGCCTTTCCGGCGACTGTTTTGAAGCACATCATTTATGAGGTAAAAGAGAAGTATCTTTCTATCTGGGTCAGCTGTAAAATGGGAGTGGCAATTGGTCACGTGACATGTATAAATCACCAGTACTTTGATAGAAGGTTTCAGACCAGGTTTCTGCAATGACTGAAGCATTGGCTTTGTGATGTATTATCCACAGAGAGAGGGTCTCTATGCTTTCCTGTGAGGATGTGAGACGTCTCAACTTCTCCTCCAAAGCTGACTTTGAGAAAGAAGACATTTAATACTACCTACCATATATACACGCTGAGAGGCGTAGTTTACGGTAGTTACGCGAGGATGCACGGAATGGTTAGCATTTGCATAGAGTTGAAAACAGGAGCTATTTTGAGTGTAGAAAACAAACATGTAGAGGTTTTAGAATGGTTTTTAATGTGCAGTCATGTAAAGAAAAAATGAGGAAAATAAATTCAAATTAATCAATAAGACTGTACATTGTACAAGAAGATGCATGTCCGGAAGTGTACGGAACTAAAGCAACAATCACAATGGCGGATTCTTCACCAGCTCCCTTTGATCCCAAGGAGCACCCTCACATGCGTTACAACCCTCTCTCCGGCGAATGGGTCCTCGTTTCTCCTCACAGGCTCAAGAGACCGTGGAAAGGACAGGTCAGTTGAGTTTGTCTCAGCCACGCCCACGCTAATGGGAGGGGCTGCTCCCTTTTCTTCCTTTAGGTGGAAAAAGGTCAAGATGAGGTCGTTCCTCCATGGGACCCAAAGAATCCTTTGTGTCCAAGGGCAGTCAGAGCTAACGATGAGGTGAGTTGATCAAATGCATGTATTGCAATGATAGAATAGACAGGGTTTCCAATTAAAGGCGGATTTACAATATGACATTAGGCCAGCGTACCGTCAATTTTTAATCAAAAGCGTGGGCGATTTGACCTTTTGACGCATGCTTTCCGCTGGAATAGAACCAGATTCTATTCCAGCGTCAACGTAACGTCAGGACTAGCGTAATATTGTAAATCCGCCTTAATGCATATATAGCCCGAGATGTAGCCATGGCCCAATTTTTGAGCAACTTCAAAAATTCATAAAAAATTCAAATATGGTTGGAATCAGCTCAAAGTTTCTATGCAACATAAGTGCATGTATATGTATCAGAAAGAGTTATAAAAATGGTGAATTCTCTCCTTTTCATTTTTGGTGAAATTTGATGGATGACCCTGTACTATAGTACAGGGACTTTTGCCTGATTTTTGAGCAACTTTAAAAATTTGTAAAAAAATCCAAACTTGATCAGAATCAGCTCAAACTTGCTACACAACATAAGAACATGTATATGTATCAAGAAATATTACAAAAATGAAGAATTCTCTCCTAGTCATTTTTGGTGAAATTTGGCCAAAGACCCTGTACTATAGTACAGGGACTTTGGCCCAATTTTTGAGTAACTTTAAAAATTCATAAAAAATCCAAACTTGATCGGAATCAGCTCAAACTTGCTACACAGCACAAGAGCATGTATATGTATCAGATAAAGTTATAAAAACGGAGAATTTTCTCCTTGTGATTTTTGCCAGAATCACCTATACTCTATTACTGGGTCTTTGGGCCTGATTTTTGAGCAACTTTACAATCGACTGACAAAAAGCTGCATGAGCATTATGCCAAAATCCTATGTGAATAGACTTCCTTGAATTATTATTCTCAGTGTAGATTTCAACTTGTGCTTTAATAGGTTAATCCTGACTATCAGAACACTTTTGTTTTTGGAAACGACTTCCCAGCAATGCTCAGAGGAACTCCTGAGCCAGGTATTGTGTACATGTGTGCATGCATCAAAATTAAATTATACTTTACAAATTTTAAAAGTTGCTCTAAAAATATGTACAGATTATTAAATTTTCCGATGCATAATATAATGTAGAAAGTTTGAGCTGATTTCAATAACTAAAGCTTTGGCGTTTTCTCTTTTTATATTCAGGTCCTTCAAAGCATCCACTCCTTCAGGCTGCCCCGGCTGGCGGCTCATGGTAATCACAATCACATAATTATCACATGCTTACCTCCTCCTCTTTTAGTCGTGTCATGTGTTTCCACCCACGCTCTGACGTTACTCTACCTCTAATGACCACGCCTGATATAACAAAGGTCATTGATGAGTGGGCAGTTCAGACAGAGGACTTAGGCTCCACCCATGAGTGGGTGCAAGTGTTTGAGAACAAAGGAAAGATGATGGGATGCTCCAACCCACACCCACACTGTCAAGTATACTGTCGTTTTATTTATACTTTATTTGTTAATTTTTAAAGATATGGGCTTGTCAGTTTTTACCCAACGAAGCTCAGAAATCAGTATGAGCCTCCATTTTAAATTATAAGTTCATTGCTTTTTTTTCTGCTAGGATACCAATCAGAGAGCGTACTACAAGGAACATGGGAAGCAGCTTCTTCTCGATTATGTTGAATTGGAAATGAAAGAAAAGGTATTAGTATTAACACACTTGTATCACAATCTACATTGTTACTATTTTTTTATTCTACACTATAGGAGCGTGTTATAGCTGAGAATCCTCATTGGTTAGCTGTGGTCCCTTACTGGGCATCATGGCCTTATCAAGTCATGCTTCTGCCAAAGAGACATGTTCTTCGTTTACCCGACCTCACCAGCGAAGAAAGAACAAGTGAGAAAATACATAAATGTTAGAATTCTATACAGCCTATGCTTTTCGAATATATCTTCTTGATGTAGGTCTGGCTGAAGTGATGAAAGAATTTCTTATCAAGTATGATAACCTCTTTGAGTGCTCTTTCCCTTATTCTATGGGATGGCATGGTAATAATAAAATAACCAATGAATGTACATGCATAATTGTAATGTACACATGTCTCTAGGGGCACCAACTGGATCATACTTAAAGGAGGACTGCAGGTAAGAAATGTCTCACATAATATGACTCTCACTCCTTTTCACTCTGTTGTAGTCATTGGCAGTTACATGCTATTTATTATCCACCGTTGCTGAGATCAGCTACAGTATGTAACTTATTCCTTATTACTGTACTTTGCAAAGATTGAGCTAATAGCAATTGAATTTGGTTTTTTTTTTCAATCTTAGGTGAGGAAGTTTATGGTGGGATTTGAGATGCTAGGACAGCCACAAAGAGACCTCACAGCCGAACAAGCAGCCGAGAAACTAAGATCCCTACCCAATATCCATTACAAAGTATAACACCATAGTTTTGAATAATAACATTATCTCGTATATTTTAATTCAATCCAGGTGAAACAAGAAGAGCAAAAGTAGATGTAGACATATTATGTAGATTAATTTATTTTGTGCTATTTTTTGTACATATGTAAAATGCTAACCGCCATTTTATAATAAAGAAAGCTGTCATGATTGTTGTACTTCAATATCATTTAAGGTTTCTGATGGTGTTATGGTCACATTTTTTACAATAACAGCACATCTGTTAGACTGGTATGTACCGGTGAGTGTCAGCGAGCTCCACACCTTCATTAGATTTCTATTAGAAGAAAAAATGACGTATAAATTTTAACTTCATCAATTTACTTTTTCGGACACGAAATGAGAACAGAATATTCGTTAGAAGCAATGACACTGTATTCTATAACATTAATCGTTATTGCAGCCCCAACCTATGTGTAGCATAAATCAAAACATGAAGGCACAGTGTACCTGTCCATGCAAGTCTTGAAGAGCTTTTGTCAGAAGGAAATCGAAATTTTCTATAGTAAATCTTTCATTGGGTTCTTCAAAGAAACTACAATGAAGAAATAGAATATGGTCAAGTGTGAGTCTCTTGGTGTGTGTAGCTGAGGTAAGAAAGAGAGAGGGGGCTGAGAAAAAAGAAAATTTAAGGTTTTAATGTACATTGAGAGTCTAAGGTGGGTGACCATTCCTTACCACGTGGGGGCTTCAGGTGTGCGCATGCGCACTAGCTTAAGCTGTTGTATGTGCATGGGAGATTGAGAGTGAGTGTTTTTCTCCACCAAGAGTTTCATTAAAGGTAAGAAAAGTCCACAAATCTATTCCAAAGCTCACAAAACTCTGCTATACTTCTATAGATGTCCAGTAATTATGGCTACGGCTATGGTCAAAGTTCCTTATACGCTAATTATGGCTATGGGGGCGGAGCAGGGGGTGGAGCTTCAGGTCAACAGGTGATGCCACCTCCACCTCCTGTTGCTTCGGCTTCTGTTGGCTATGGAGGGAGTGTTAATCAAGGATATGGGTACAATTACTATCAGCAACAACAAGCAGCAGTAAACTCTCAATATGCGGTAAGTGAGGGGTACTCTGCATATTGTGTTGCCCAAATTATTTATTCGTTTTTTTCTTCAAAATTTACAATGATTAAATGCTTATAATAGCAATTTTTTGTAGGCTGGGACTGCTCAAAGTTATGCCACGCCTACAACTTCCTCAAACCCCACCCCCTCTGTAATGTATCCGACTGATTATTATCAGTATGCACGGGTTGGTTCCTATTCTTATCAGCCTCAAACGACTACAGCACCTCCGACCGTATCCACTTCATATTCTCAAGCACATACTTCATATTCTCAGACTGGTTCCTTTCAGTCTCAGACCTATACTTCATATTCTCAGACTGGTACTGGTTCTTATCAGCCTCAGACCTATACTTCATATTCTCAGTCCGGGACTGGTTCCTATCAGCCTCAGACCTTGACTTCATATTCTCAGACTAGTTCTGTCACTAATTATGGGAGCTATTCCATGGCCACATCAACTCCTACTTCTGGTTCATTTTCATCAATGACTCCACAGCAACAGAAGGTAAAGAAGAAGTCAATGTAAATTCCTACTCTCTCTCTCCCCTCTCTCTTTCCCTTCTATCTCTTTCTCATCCTATCACTGTCTTTACATTCTTATTATTATTATTATTATTATTACTATTATTATTATTATTATTATTATTAATATTATTATTATTATTTATCATGCAGATTATCCAGGATTATGTTAGTGCTCGTGAAAGAGGAGGAGGAGGAGGAGGCAAAGTAAAGACACAGGCTGAAAAGAACTTTCTGAAGAAGAAGACTTATGATTCAGAGCAGAATTATTATTGTGAAGTCTGTAAAGTTGGATGTGGCTCTACCTTGGTAAGTGTCCCTTTATCGCTCTTCTACCCTTCTCTCTACTTCATTCTACATGCATCTCTCTCTCTCTCTCCTCACTCTCTCTCTCTCTGCTTCTTCCCTTTCTCTTCTAGACTTATAAGACTCATTTGGAGGGTAAGAACCATAAGAGGCGTCTCCAGCTGCAGCAGAAAGCAAACTCTGCTCCACCTGGGACCAATGATCCTTCACTTAAATGTGACGTTTGCGACATTATCTGTTCAAGCAAGGACAGCTTCCTAGCACATGTTAGAGGCAGCAAACACTTGAAGACTGTTGCTCTGTTCCGTCGTCTCGGTAAGCCCCTTCCACCAATGACCTCGGTCAAGGCACAGGATGATGGAGGCGTGCAGGTCACTGGTCCAAGGATTACGTTTGTGGGCGGGAAGAAGCTAAGCTCCACTGGACTCACGTTGGAACCTAAACCAGAGGGGATGCAGGTTTATCCCCCTGGGGCTCCCGAACCAGGTTGGTATTTGTGGGCTTGGTCTTTTATGTTTTTTTTCTTTTTTAGATGTTCCACCTAATGTCAATGAGACTCCCCCTGTTGTTAATTCATCTAATTCTGATGTAGAACCTGTTGGTAAGGGGATATATAATGTGTAATAGACTACTAATCCAATAGTACAGTGTATTTTAGTAAAAATTAAAAGGAGAGAATTCTCAATTTTAAATATTTCTTCTGGTACATATACATGTACTTATGTTGTGTAGAAAGTTTGAGTTGATTCCAATCGAGTTTGAATTTTTTATGAATTTTTTAGTAGCTCAAAACTCAAAAATTTGACCAAAGTCTGCACTATAGTACAGAGTATTTCCAACCAAAATTGAATTCTTTTCTAATTTTTAAAATGCTTCTTTGTAATTATATAGTATAATGAGAGAGATAGCTTTGTGCCACACTTTTCTTTAATTAAATGTGCACCTGTGTTATACTGTTTAAATTTACTTGTGCAGGCCTTGATCTAGTGAAGCCAGTTAAGAATCACCCAAAGTCTCCACTCTCCTCCTATCATTGCGAATTATGTGATTGCTTCTTTAATGATGAACTGGCTAGGATCTCACACTGCAAAGGACGCAGGCACCGCATCAATTACAAGGTGAACTGTGTGTACTAAATGTTGGCCTTGGTTATTGAAATTTCATGATAATTATATAGTAGAAAAAAATTGCAAAAAATGAAATTGGAAAAATGATTTTGGGGGGATGATTCATGAAAATTTTGGGCCAAAACTCTCTTAACATTTTAATTTCTGTTTAATGCCCTACCCAGGATGCCTATGATCCTACTCTAAAAGTTGAAAAGTATAAAGCGTCGACTTTGAAGAAGAAACAGAAAGATCGTATGGCTCAGGACAAAAAGAGAATCGCTAGTGGAAACTTTGGAAGAGGAGGAGGAGGAGGAGGAGGAGGAGGAGGAGGAGGAGGAGGAGGGAAGACATGGGGAGGGAGAGGATGGGGAGGGAGAGGAGGAAATGCGAATAAAGCTGAGGAGTTATTTAGATTACGTCAACAGGAAGCATCAGCCATTGCTGCACTGCATTATGGAGTAAAGGTAAGAGAAATAAATTAATGATTTTTTTATTGTTAGCCATACATGTAAATACCATAAAAAGTTGTTTGATGTGTACAGATTATTATTTATTTATTTATTTATTTATTGTGTAGGAGAAAGATTACTATCACCACCCTTCTGATCCTTACGAAGACTATCATAACTATCATCATTTCTCTGAACCATATCCCAGCAATGAGGACTGGAGTCCTAACAGAAGTCTTGAGGTATACATGTACACGTATTGTGTACTGCCTATAATACATGTATGCCTTTAGATAAGAAATCCTGCTGATGATAAGATGGTCTCTACCAAATATGGGCAGCTCTATCCCAGCGATTCTGAAGTTTGTTTAAAAATATTATTTGCATGCACAGAGTGTGTTATTTTGCTAATTAATTGCTATGAAAATGCATTTGGTGGCAGAAAATTCATGAAGAATGGAAGATTCTCTCCTGGCCATTTTTGACAAAATACCTTATGCAGTTATAAGTATAGAATTTATTAACACTGAAAGGCCTTCTCCTTTTATTATAGTCTTGTTTTTTTATTCCCTCCTCCTCCTCCTCTAGATAAAGGCTATTCAAAAAGCCGTTGTAGATATTGAAGCTGCTCTCAAGTCCTGCTCTGATGATTTGCTAATGGAAACGTGCCAACGGTAAGTATCCTGATTCCTGACCTAATATACTGACTTTTACTGACTGTGCATGCAGCGCTGCTAAAGAGAAGGACAGCACACTTACGTGAGTGTACTCAATAATGTATTTAGTCTCCTAACTTAGTTGATCCATTAATTAATAGTAATTTATCCACTGTCAAGAAGGATGAGGAATTAAGTATGTTGTTGGGCATTATTTAGAATATTTTGGGAATTTTTTGAATATTTTATAATTTCAATGCATTATAGGAGAGATTAAGGGTGTGATGCGTGTTGGTCTTCATGCTTATGATCTCCTCCTGAGGGGGCAGATGGAGATCCGCCTGGTCGTCATTTGTGCAAGTAAGTCATGCACATGTCAGTAAAGCAGACATACATGTGCACTGTAAGAAGGATATAATTATTGGATTTTTTTATTTTTATTTTTTTAGATGTTCCAACTAAGGATCTTTTGGTTGATATACATGATTCACTACCCACTAAACTCGTGGTAAGATGAATCGAATGCACATTCTTGGATATTCTAGTATATTCTAGTATTATACATGTACATTGTAAAAGATAATAGTTACCATTCTTTTAATTATTGAGCTTCACATATATTGTACATGCATGATGTGTTGCCTTTTATTTTAGGCAACAGAAGAAGCTACTTATCATGTTTCTGCTGATTTCAAGAAAGGAGAACTAATGACTATTTGTAATACTGGAGACGTGACTGTGACTGTCTTCATAAACCTCACATCTTATGCTATTGATGGAGCTTCTGGTAAGGGAAAAGAAAAAGCAGAAAGTTCACTCCTGGTTGTCTTGTACATGTACACATGAACATATTTATGAAGCACAAGTTTGTGTACATTTATGTACATGTACATGTACATACATGTAGATGTACACAAACTTGTGTATGTGTATATGTGTAATGTACATGTTTGTTGTCTAATGTTACATGTTTGTTTGTGTTATGTGTTTGTTGACATACTGTCTCTCTTTCTTAGCCTCACAGTTCACTGGCCAAGAGCTCAACCCATCACTTTGTCTGTCCAGCCTTTTGGCATTACGTCAGACAAACTGGTTCCAGGTTAACTCTCTCTCTCTCTCTCTCGCTATCCTTCACCACACACCTCTCCCTTCCTCTCTCTCTCTCTCTCGTCTCTTCTACTTCTCTCTATCTCTTTAAAAAGAGAGAGAAGGAAAGAAGCACAGAAAGAGGAGAGAGAGAGAGAGGGACTGCGAGTGTGGTAGAGGTTAGAGAGAGAGAAGGGGGTAGACCCAAGGAATTAAAGAAAGAGAGATAATTCAAATCTTCTTCACAAGAAGAGACTGTTGCTCATAGCGAATGAGCAGCCATCAATTTTAAATGTCGTATTCGTTCAATCGATGAAACCTCATTTGCAGAGACACGGGAGCGGCGTGTGCCCGATGCCTTTAAAATGTTTTGGGGTAGTAAGAGAAAGGAGTGAATGCTTGGGGCACTTTGGTTCAAGTATTATCTATCATGTTTGTAGGCTAACTGTCAGAGTATGCCCTCCTTTTCTATTGTCATGAGGATCTTCCTTGATTTGAAGCGGAGAAAGGCGGCCTTCTCTGTAATGAATGATTGGGTGAGTCCTACAAGTACATGCACTTTTTTACAAGAAAGAGTGCACAGGATAGTGAGGATGCACATACCGTATATCCTTAAATAGAAGCCGCATGCGAATAAACACCGGGGTACCAATAGATTTAAATATACAAATATAGTCTTGAAGTGACTCAGTAGTCTTGTGGATACAGTCTAAAGTTCCTGAAGTCAAGTGCATGAGGTCATGGGTTCAAATTCCGCTCTGGGCCAACGTTTTTTTATTTTAAAAATTTGTTTCGAGGTCCAAATACCATTTTAGGAAATAGACGCCTGGGCTTTTATTTAAGGAAATACGGTACATTTACTGTTGTAGCAGCTAGAGTTTTGTAAGGCATATACTATGTTGCTGTATACTGTTTATTTTGTGGTGTGTACTTTGATCTGGATTCAGAAAGTCTGTCTCTTTTATGATAACATTGTTTTTGATTAAACTAATGTTGTTACTTGTAGTTGTTTTTGACACTTGCCTTCTCATCATTTTTTGCGTAATTATCACCTACACCTGTATTATACATGTAGGCAAAGCCCCTGTACTATAGTACAGAAATTTTGGTCAAAAATGAAAAGAGAGGATTCACCTTTTTGTAACTTTTCTGATGCATATACATGTACTTATGTTGTGTAGAAAGATTTAACTGATTCTAATCAAGTTTGGATTTTTTAAAGTTGCAGTCACCGTATTGTAGTGCTTGTCAGCTCATGAAGCTCATGCTGTTTAGCTCACTTAGCATGCTTTGTGGGAAACCCACACATACATCTATATGTAATAGCTTTATGGCACTCTCTTTGTCTTTTTTCTCTTCTTTCTTTACTCTTTCTCTCTCTTTTTCTTACGTGTAGGTTTTGTTAATATTAATTCACAAATGCATCACTAGTGCTCCTCCTAATTATCTCAGACCTGGTGATATTTTCAGACGTGTCATTGAGTGCATTGCTTCTGGAGTATTTCTACCTGGTTAGTGGGTGTGGTTGTGATGGGTGTGGTTACATTGCTTGTACACAGGTTACCCTGGGTTACATGATCCTTGTGGAGGCGTTGATGCAGCTGCTAGTATGACAGCACAAGAGAGAGCTGACTTGACACTATCAGCTCAAGTTAGTTATATAATTATCATAAAATGTAGCAAGACATTCTTTTGCTAAAAATTCTGCAGATTTTTAGTTTTTGCAGTTACCTACTTTTGACCTTTTTTTGTACTGTTATTTAATTGAATTTTTGCAAAAAAATTTTGAGTCACAGATGTTTCTTGCTATCATGATAATTTTTCTTTCTCTCTAGCACTTTTTGAGGCTGATTGCCTTTAATCAGTTACATATTGTACTGGACATGTCTCCTCCTCCTAACTATGCTCCCTACTCACTTAAGATATCACCAGACAAGAGTATTGATCCTGATGAAGTTGAGGAGGAGGGAGAGGGAGAGTGGTCTAATAATGGAGAGGCAGAGGTCAAACGGATGAAGCTGGATCATATTTGACTCCTGAGAGAGAGAGAGAGAGAGAGAGAGACTGAGTCTTGACTGTATATAATAGTATCATTAACATTGACAGTAGTCATTTCTTTTTTTTTGTTTTTCTTTATTGGTCTTGTTACTTGCAGAAAAGTACACCCATACCATATGCCCACGCAGATCATTGATATACCGCCCACTCTTAATCTTTTAGATTCGGTCCCACGTGTTGTATATAAAAGGAACCGCAGACTTGATTTGTGCTTCAGTTTTGCTTCTTGCTTTCCTTGACAATAAAAAGGGATAGGGTAGTCGTCATGAATCACAAGCACTCTCTATCCAGTGGTAGTCGGAGCAGTAGCTCTAGTAGCATTAACAGTGATGACGGGGCCAGCAAAGAGGTCAGGATTGCTGTGGTTGGGCAAGGAGGAGTTGGAAAATCAGGTATGCACCGAGTCTTGCTGTATTGTACTGTCTCTGTTACCTATCTATCATAGCTCTGATCGTTCGTTTTATTACTGGAAGATTTCTTCATTCTTACAACCCAACATTAGGTAAGATCTAAAGTAGATCTTTATCATGAAATCTCTCTTTCTTTCTGTCTTTCTTTCTTCCTCTCTTTCAGAGGACAAGTACACAAAAACAATGCGAGTTGAGGGAGAATCCTATCGTCTCAGTATATTGGACACTGCAGGAGAAGTAAGTTGATTTTACTAATGCAGTATATATATATTGTATGTAAGTGCACTGCCATTATGTGGTGTATGTATGTCAACTGTCATGATAATAAGTGACATTACACTAGTTGCTCTAGCCTTATGTTTACTGGATAGGCTGGTTCCCATATCCCTCTCTCAACATCAGTTGTTTTGAAGCATTTCATGTTATGGGATAAAGCACAACAGGTGGAAATTGACATAAAAGTCCCTTTAGCTCTAGTAGTTTAGTAGTCCCCCACTTATAGTACAAAGGATGTAAGCACTTAGTACATTGTTCAGCTGCTTTTTCTGAAGAATGCAGCTCGCCAGCTGCTTGTGGTTTTTGATACTTCCTCTTCCTTGAGAGATAATCATATACTACTAATTATATAAATCCCTTTCTCTCTTGCACTTCCTTTCATTGCTCTCTCTCCTTCTTATTCCACTGTATGTTCAATGTGTTGATGTTGTGTAGGACATTGTTATCATTGATTGCTTGCATTGCTAATGTTAACTTTTCAAACACAATCTCAGTTTAGTTTCAGAAAGACTTCTCTTTTTTGTGGCTTTCCTTATGTCAACGTGAATGATAATGAAAGAGAGGGAAAGGTATAGAAGAGAGATGTGTGCCTGGAAATAAAAAGGGTAATGTGGTTTAGCCTATTAACCAAATAAGGCATACTAATTCATGTTGTTTATGACTTTGTGTGTGTGTGTGTGTGTGTGTGTGTGTGTGTGTGTGTGTGTGTGTGTGTGTGTGTGTGTGTGTGTGAGTACGTGACGTTACTGCACCTTACCTTTTAACCTTTTCTTTGTGTATTAGCGTTACAGATTAAGTTAGAGCAATCATTGTGTTTGTCCTTGTGTAAATAATATTCTCTTTGTAAACATGTCATCTACTGTCTGTTAACAATGTAGACAGACAGAGTAAAGTACAAGACCACTACATAAGAACACATAGTCTCCTATTGAAATGTTAAGTGCTTAGAAGTATGCACCAGGAAATTGCATGCCTTGATGTGTCTTGGAATTACAATTACAATTAATGTCACACCTCTTGTACAAGCAGATCTTACCACGATTGCTGCAAAGATAGTGCAATATCCATTAATCTACGTTAGTTTTTAAGTGGCAGTTGCTTATGTGGCTATATGTGAATTATGTTCTCTGTGTGTTCTATGGCACTTTTAGTTTGTGACTGTATGTGTGTCCATAGCCTTTTAACTGAGTGTGTTTGCGTTCATGTGGATACTATTTTCACATGATTATCTTATAGTTGTAGTAAGCACGGAATTGTAGATTAGTTTAGTTATAGAATTAAACCATGAGTCCGACTCATGCGTATCCCAGAATGACTCTACTACTATTATTGTGGGAATGTTTTGTGTTCAGTGCTAATGCGTGTTATGTATTTTTGTCTGGCTTTAAAGTGGTATCATCAGCTGGCATGCATTCCTTACTAATGTTTTGTTTTGTGTCTCTTAATTCAGGGGTTTAATGTGTTCTCAGTCTTTCTGTCTCTGAATCTTGTTTATTTTAAAGAATATGGTGGATTTTACTTGCAATTAACCTCCCCTTTCTCTTTCTCTCTTTCTCTCTCTCTCAGGATGATAGACATATCATGTATTACTTCAGTTTCTCTCACGTCCTCCTACTTCTCTTTGATCTCAATGACCGATCCTCCTTTCGCAAGGCCAGACTGATACGTCAGAAGGCAGACGCTCACTGGCACGGCTCTCGTCCGATCTCCACGGTCCTCGTTGGCTGTAAAGGAGACATGGAGAGGAAGGTATCTACTTCAGAGGCTCTCGCTGTTGCTAAAGAGCTTGATTGCTGCTATGTCGAGACCTCAGCTGCCGAGGGTCATAACTGTGCCCTCCCTTTTAAAACCGCCATCAAAATGTACTCTCATCTCTACACTGATCGATTTGATATCATGGACTCCGGTGAACACACCAATAAATCGTCCAGAGGGATAATCCGCAGACTCCTAAGTCCGATGTCATCCGGGAAAAGGGAGTCACGGGACTTGTCTCCTTTACGTCTACCGGCTGCTAGACATTCGGAACTTTCTGTAGTCTCACCACTTCGATCGTCAGTCTCTTTTAACAGCCAGACCCCAGAGGGACCGGAACCAATCACTATCACTATCAGTATGGAAAGCTGATGGTTCCATGATTCATTTCACACAACTGTATTACTCATTCACTTGTTTCTGCTTATTATAAATTTTATTAATTTTTAAATGCACCAACACTGTCACATTAACTTTACCTGCTCTTCTGATTCTATTAATTTTGTAAAACGGTCATTGTGCTGTTATAAAATGGTATTGTTTGATTTTAGAAGTTATCTTTGGCAAGCCTGAGCTTAACAAGTGTTTGTCTGTGTACAGTTGGCCATGATACCGACGTGGCAACAGTAACCTAGCAACAGTAACATAGCAACAGTAACCTAGCAATTATAAAATAAAATATTAATTTTTTAAAAATTACTAATTTTAATTTTTATAATTTCAATGCCAGGAATGTTCCCAAAAAAACTTTTCTCTGGGATTTATCTAGGAAAACTTTTTTTCCAGGAAATTTTGTCGAAAAACTTCATTTTTTTGAAGAGAATTTTGCTGGGAAACTTTATTTTTCCCAAAAAACTAAATTTTTTTCAGAGAATTTGCCCGGAAAGCTTTTAAAAACTTTATTTTTCCCAGAAATTGTGCTGGAAAACTATATTTTTCCAGGAAATTTTGTCGCAAAAAATTTTTATAGCAGCACTGTCACAATTCCTTACTCTCTAATTTATAGATTGTAATTAATGTAATTATAATTATAAAAAGAGAATGCAATGCTGATAGTATCTAATGATAATAATAATTAATGACATAAAAATTATGACTGGGAAAGATAAAAATAATAACGGGAAAATTCAGTCTCCCTCGATTCGCTTGTAAGTTTTCAAAATGACAAAGTCTCTCGCTATTTCGTCGCTATGTCTCAAGGCTAGTACCGTGAGAAAGGCCCGCCCACGCTCATCATGAAACAATGCTCCATTGAGATTCATAGTGTATACTCTGCTCTTCATTATGACGTCAAAAGGTACCGAGGCCACACCCAATATCTGATCACCGCCTATGAGAGGCTTGTGTTTCACTGTTGCTTGCAACTGGCAATATTCAGTTGGAGGAAGTGTACTATGAAATGAAGAAATAAAAAGTTTCATTTACCATTATTATTATTATTATTATTATTATTATTATTATTATTATTATTATTATTATTTATTTATTATCATTGATTTTAATTTGCTTACAATTTGAATGTGTGGTTAATGTCAGCTGCTGAGGTCGCTCCAGTGCTGTATCTGTACTTTGAGAATTGCTGACAGTTTGGAAATATAAAATTAAAATCAATGAATATCTTGAAACCACTAGAAGCTAAAGAAAAAGGGAGAGAGTTAAGATTAATCTATTACAGTGAGATTTAAAACTAATGCATATGCTGATTTCAAATGCCATAATTCAAAAATAATACTTAAAATTGGTTTGTTCTTTGAAGCTATTAAAATTTTCTTATTCGCAAGGTACATGTATTTGAAAGCAACAGCCAACTCTGATTAAGTTTTGTAATAAATGGGTACTTACAATGGCTGAGTGATTTAATATCTTTCCCAGATATTACTAAAAGAGAGTGAGATAATGCAAGTACAATAAATACTGGTTGGTGGTTACCTCTTAGTGTACCATCCATTCCACCAGAAGCTGGTCTCCTACCAATATTCAGTTCAAGGGACAACTCTCCATAAGAATCTCTGTCAATTTGACCTACAACAACATAATAAGTAAAATACTATATAGTTTCCTCATATATATTTATAATAGGCCTGTTAGTTCATATTTATAATAGGCCTGATTTATTTTAAGTGTTTCTTACTATCGTATTTAAATGATTTCAGACATTCTCCTATCAGTGATTCAGTCGTTTGACGGAACAGTTTCGTGATTGCTTTCATTTGCTTTACGTTACGACTCAGTGTAGACTCCTTCACTCCAGCATGATCATCCATAAAAAACTCCTTCGGAAACAAAAAATTGTAATAAAAATCATAGGACGTATCCGTTATTCACGTTAATATTTAAGAGGACAAAATAATGATGTTATAATGCTGAGTGTGTGGTCAAACCTTGAAAAGATCAATGATGAGGTCTAATAATGCACACTGTCTTTGATTATAATTGACATGGTGGAAGACACTCTCAACTTGTTCCCCAGTGATAGCTGTTAGGTTCGGCAGTAGCAGACACTGGAATCCTTCCATTACTACAAACCATAGCTCCTTTAAAAGAGAGAGGGAGAGAGAGGGAGGAGGGAGATAATTTATCACAAGTTCAATATGTAAATGGTGCAAGCCAACTGATTTTTAAAATGATCATATCTCGAGAAATCAATATGGATCAGAAAATGTATTTAAAATGAGAAGTAATTTCAGACAAGGAGAAAAGTCATCAACTTTCCTTTGCTCTTACTTTTATTAATTTCGGTAAAAGCGTGTCTTTCTCACAAACCTTTCCAATCTTTTCAGCCCTACAATCACCACAAGTTATTAAAAGTTATGAACCAACAGTTAATTAACTACCTTGCAAACAGTGCATCTAGTACAAGCTCAACCATCACTTTTGCATCAGCTCTAGTAGCAGAACCCTGTGCCTTTAATCTACATTATCAATGGCTAATGATTTCATAGTGGTCACACGCCCACTCACTTCATTAATTCCTCTTGCATGTGTCTCATATGATTCCATATGGATTCCTTCTGACTACAAGGTGGGCATGGTCAGTAATGATTACTAAGACTCCGCCTACCTGTTCATTACGAAGGGACACCAAGTGTTTAATTGTTTAGTTAGTATCGTCTGTAAGTCTTGGAGCTCCTCAGTGGCCTGGGGGCCAGCATTCTACGAATATCATTATGTTAATATGTGCCCATAAACTACTATTAATACTATTAACAGATTAGCTAACCTCAGGTCCATGCATTGCTTCGAATATGCTTTGAACTCCGAAACGAATGAACTGAAAGTTATTGAGCAACATCAGTGTCTATAACAGAGAAAGAATTATAAGTATAGTATATGTACATGTACATGCATGTACATACAATGTCTAGTTTAGAGCCAGCATTTGGTATCTCAACTGAAGCAAGATCAATGTAATGTAGAATAAGACTTTTAATAACCTGAAATGAGGCAATATGCAAGAATAAGGCATATACATGTTAAAATACTAAAACATTCAAATTACTTTTGAATATTCAAAGAGATAAATGTGTCTGAGGTCCAACTGATCAGAGTCAAGTCCTTGAATGAGCTCTTGCCCCTATTAGGAAAACATCATTATGACTACTAGTTGTAAAGCCAAATAAAAACTTTATAATCATTTGTACGACTACTGCACATGTACATGTAAATATACATGCACATGTACATGTATGCACCTTGTGAAAGTACACAAACATGTCGTAAGCAGAAGCTGAAAAGTTTTGATTGCTATCAGGTTGAAAGTGAGCTGCTTTATCGTGCTCCCAACTGTTGTTGACGAAATTGAGAGCATTTTGTTGAAAGTCCTGTATCCAGTACTTGACTGCCGGCTCAAACCAATACGGGTACTCAAGTCTCTCAAGGTTTTTCTCTAGCTTTCTAACTCTCTCTTCGTAGAATTTCTTCACCTATACATGGAATTAGAAATAATTTGTAGTAAAAAGAATAAAAGTTATATGTACCAGTAAAAGTAAGTGAATAGCTTCAATAGGTGGGAATACGTTTAAATTATCATCAACTGCAGAAAGGAATAGGTTAGTAGAAACAGGATATCATTATTGTATTGTTTCAGGAGTCTACCTTTAAACAAATCCTGAATTGTTTCTTTGAAAAGATTCCAAAACTCTATCATTGAAACTGCATCCAATTCAAAATCAACATACCTATATATAATAATAGCAAAGATAAATTTCCCATTCTTCTCCCCCCCTCTCTCTCTCTCTCCTCTTTTTAATACTTTTTAATGTATGGCTGATAGACTGTCTTGTCCTCCACAATGGCAGATATGATTTGTTTTAGCAAGCTGTAATAAAATTCAAAAGGTGATGCATTCTTGTCAAGTGCTGGGTGTCCCTCATAGTCATCAGGGATCAGCTCTTGTACAATGTCATCAAAAGTTGTCCTAGCACACTCCTTTATAGAAGAAAAAAAAAGCAAAAAATTAAAGGTTTAAAATCTGATAAAAAGAAAAAAAAAGGAAGTGACCCGGACGTGATTTGAACACGCAACCTTCTGATCTGGAGTCAGACGCGCTACCGTTGCGCCACCGAGTCAGCTCTGCCCAACCATGCAATGTTTTGTGTATTAAAACTACAGCATTACCTTCATTGCTCCTTCAATAGCTTTGGAGACATTTCCTACCCTTGAAGCACTTTCTATACCAACAGCCTGAGAAAATTAATGAATAAGAAGCCATGATTTGTGTCCTTTACCTTTCTTTCAAAATCACAAACAGTTTTGAGCAATTCACATGTGTTTGTCAATTCGGTTAGCTTCTCTTTGCTAGTGACAGGGTAAGAGTCCTAATAGTGGAGAATAAAGGAATATATAAGTCATATGTAGCGGTTGTGTGATTACTCTGTAGCTCTGTAGATTCAGTAGCAGCTGTCCAGTTAGCTTTTGAATGAGCTGTGCAACTTTGTCACGCTGTATAAAGAAAGAAACCAATAACCATGTACTTGTAAGCACAAAAAAGCAATAGAAACGGGGAATAGTCATATAATCAATAAGAAGTAGCTCTTGGACTTACTCCAAAGTTGCTAGAGTCCAGTAGCTCCACCATTAATGTCTGGAGTCCAACTCCTCTAATGGCGTTCTCCTCTGCACTCAGGTGAAACATCATTTCTCTGGCATGTACTAGTATATTGTTCATAGCTTTGTACGGGTTAGCAAGTAATAGGGAATGATCAAGAATTAATTTGAAATGTCTAAAGAGAAAAAAATTAATGCATGATAACGAAACGAGCCCCTCTCTCTCCTCCGCTCACACTAATAGTCGGTATATCTGTTCTACGGCGAATCTTTTAGCAAACTCATCAATGATATCTTGAGCAACACCAGGCAATAGATCACACTTATCTTTATGATCCTAAACACATCACGTGAAGATCACACGATGGTCATGTGACTTTAAACTCACTGTACTGCATATTACTAGATCTTTCTGCTTTCTGAAATGACAGTGAAGAAACAGTTGCTAGAGAGAGAATGAAGAATGAGAGAGAGAGAGAGAGGAGGTCAAATATGGTATTCAAGTCACATGACCACATACCTCGTGTAGCTGTGAGTACATTATGTGATATGGTGCTATGAGAAATTCACCAGCTATCTTTGAGGATAGTGTTAACTGGATTGAGCCAGAAACAATGTTATCTGCCGTTCTCTTCTCTAATAATAACAACAAAAACAATAATGACAACGGTAAACAACAATATGACAAACAATGTACATATTCATATATATGTAAGGAAATTGAATTGTATGGTACGTTGGTACTGTGTATAAAGCTTACCTAGTTTGTACCAGAGTGTGTTTGCTGCACCTAGTCTTAACACTTCAATGATCTTCTGTCCCAAAAAGTGATCGCCTTCGGATGTCATCCTGTGAGTTAGTTTACTCATTGTAGTGTGTCTCTCGTTCCTGAGAGGGAAAGAGGGAGGGAGGGAGAGAGAGAGGGAGAAGGAGAGAGAGAGAGAGAGAGAGAGAGGGAGAGAGAGAGAGAGAGAGAGAGAGAGAGAGAGGGGGAGAGAGAGAGAGAGAGAGGGAGAGAGAGAGAGAGAGAGAGAGAGAGAGAGAGAGAAGAGGAAAGAATTCAAAGGAATTAAGTAAGAGGACATATAATTATTTGAGAGAATTAAGGAAGCATGCACATCATGCACAACTATGCAGCTACTACAACTCACCACACTCTAATCTTGATCGGTTCCAAGTAATTCTGGCACTCACTACAACCATTGAACACATTAAGACAAACAACATAAACAAATTGATAAATAAATTATAGACTAGCTGTACATGTAGGCACACTATAGTAAATAATAATAATAACAATAAAGACACTCACAATTGGAAGTCTTCACTCCATTGAGGGGAATGGTGTACTTCTTTGTAAGCTTTAGTTCTTTTCTTTTCTCCTCCAACATCAATAGACACATACAACCTCTTGCCTTCTACGTATGTACATATACATATTTGTTACTAAGGTTACCATTAACCACACCCACACTTACCGGCCTGCTCGTTGAAGGCAAGACCTTGAGCTGCAATGACTACAAAAGATAAATTGATGATTTAGAACATTAACTGATACAGTACAGAAATCTTAGCATTAACACTGATACTGAGATATCAAGACTGAATCAGTGTCGATGTAGGTGCAATCTTTCCTGCCATACCTTTAATGTCCACAATAGCAGTGAACTTCCTAGCTAGATCTTTGATGGTAGAAGTCACCTCATCAATGATATTAGAGTTCTCCACATCAGTGATGCTGAATGCTTCCCTAGAATAAGAGAGAGAGAGAGAGAGGGAGGCAGAGAGAGGAAGAGAGAGGTATTGATCTGGTATGTATGTGCATGTACATGTTCATACTTTAAAAGATCAAACTTTTTGCTTTGACTGACAACAGTTTTCCTCATAACTTCAGTAATGACCATCAGATGAGACTCTTGCACTGACGAAGACTGAGAGTCCCTTACTGGAGGAAGAGAGAGGAGAGCTGGTTATAATGAATACAAAAAACTCACTGTGAAAACAATCGTGCTTTGCAGACGCGGCACATTTCTTGTGAGAATTTTTACCACATTCTGTGTAAAAAATGAAAATATTATCATAATAAGAACAACAATAATAAAGATACAAGCATAATAGAGAGAGAATGTTGAGATGGGAATATATGGAGATGTACTTTCACACTGGACTCCTTGTTTGGCTAATCCCCAAATGAAGCCCTCGCACTCTCCACAATACGTGAAGGACTTGTAAGACTTCTCTACAAACTGATGAGCATGTAGACCTGAGAGAGAGACAGAGGGAGACAGAGAGACAGAGAGAAGAGGAGAGATGAAGAGAAGGAGAGAGAGGGTCAAATGAAAAGATAACATGCTGTACCATATTACATGCATATTTAGAGAGAATGAATGGTAAACATTATCTAAAAGCTACACAATAATAATAATAATAATATACATGAAGACTAACTTGAGGCAGGATATATCATAGCCTGTAATGCCTTCTTGTACACATGTATCCTCTATACAAAAACAACACACATCATAACACATTGATTCATCGTCTTTAATAGCTAGATGCATATAAACAATGTACATTGGAATCCTGATACACTACATATGGTAATTGGTGAACAATGTAAAAGTTAAAGGGTAGCTAATTCTATAATTACTATAACTGATGAGTAATAGTGCATCAAGCTATAGTGCGTAAGTTGATAGTACTAATTGATTATAAGATTACAAAATTCCCCTACACTAATAAGCCTGTAGTATCCAGGGTACAGGAAATTATGCACTGTTGCCATTATTACTGGCATAGCCTCACTATACAAGCATAAATTAGCACTAAATGTATCTAGAAATAATACCATAATACTTACAAAATCTTCATCAATTGTTTCTTTGACTGCGTGCAGTGCCTCCCTACTCCTTTGCCTCGTCTTCAACCTTTTATATACCTAACAAAGATCAATACGTGTAAGTGTAACTGAAAATACACTGTGTTCATGTAGGAGTTGACTTAGTGTGCAAATTATAAAAATTAATGAAAATTATCGTAAATGTTGTCAGTACAGTAGAATGTGTATTGATAAGGTATATGCTTACTTTCTGTGAGAATGAAGCTACTTGATCATCACTAACTACTGTCGTCTCTATCTTCTTGAGGCCTTGCATGTGACTGACACTGTTAAAGAGAGGGAGAATTCGAATAATTAGAGAGAAAATAATATATAATTATTGCATGCAATAAAGAGACAGTGTGTATTATATATACCGCTGTCTCTTCCAAATTGCATTCCTCCTTTTCCTAAACTTATCCTCCTTCTCATCTTCCTCGCACTCCTCATTGTTATTTTGTCTATCAGCCATTACAACTACAACAACAACAGTAACAAATTATATAGCTCAGACTCTATACACAGGCAGCCAGATTGAAGAAGATAAAGATTTAGAGCTACAGCAATCACTGAGCCACTGTATACACAATCCCCCTTAGCACAGGCAGGCAGAGATAGGCTCAGTGGTGGACTCCAGGTACAGCTACTGCTCCTTCTCTACTATTCCTCTGAAACTGAATGCTAGTGTCAAGTTTATGGTGAATTTATAAACCCAGGAAGCCAAAAACATGCACTATAATCATGTTGTAGTAGACGCCGCGCACGATGCATAGTTTAATACACACGCACAAGTATATACATGCATAATTTATATGCGACTTGAATTTTCTTCCCAGCTATCTTATGCCGGTATTGTTGTTTATATTTCCAATGCTGTTTTCCTTTATAAAAGCTATGTCATCATTAAGTGTTTGTTTAGCGTACGGCGAACTGCCAATCAAACCAAACCCCAAAACTATCCCAAGCCACACCTAAACCATAACATGACCACACCCACTAAACCACGCCTACTAAATTAGCCACGCCCATTAACTCAAATAATATACTTACAGATCTGCTAGGGACCCTCCTCTTCCACGATTGGGCCTTCTGATAGATCCCTCGTCTCTCAACTAAGAACAACATAAGATGCAAAAATAAAATAAGTCAAAATGTACTCTTATGAATTCAGGTTTAGAGAGAACCGACTGCCATTTTTCTCTTGCTGTTAGTTTTACAGGAGGTGGTGTATCGCCGTCTATTTCATCATCGTCTTCCTCATCAAGGAAACTAACTTTTCGGTTCTTCTTGCTGAGATGAGGGTTGACGGCTACGACTTTCTTTACTTCGTCTGGGTACTCAAATTTTCCTGGCTGTTTGTCTGGGAGAGGGAGTTTTTTCTTGTGCAATTGAACGTGCTGATATGATATGACTTTAGCCTATTAGAAGAGAAATAAAGGGAGAATTTAATTTTATGTAGTTTTTAAAAAATGCAACTTCATTATAGCACCGTACAATTAAAACTTTACTGAAAAGTACTTTGAGAATTATTACATTTTGTGACATATTGATCATAAAATTTTACAATGCAGCATATACTATAGTACCTCTTCTTGTAGTGTGAGTCTCAGCGAATTTAACTTCTTTTCAAGCATCTCTAATTCCTTACGTGGAATATCTACAAAATGATACATAAAATATGATATAAATACTTATAATATAAAGGTTACACATGACGTAAAGAGCTTGTGTGCTTGTGTATGGTTTTAGTAAAAGAACATGTACATAGTTTGCATGTTTGTGTGTAGGTTCAAAGACTTACTCTGTGGTAGTTCAAAATGCATGTCCAAAACAAGAGAGTGATTAGTGGGAGAGTCATCATCACCATCATCAGCTAACACCAAATTATAAGACTGACCATCAGATTTCTGAGGGAGAGAGAGGGAGAGGAGGGAGGGAGGGAGGGAGGGAGAATGATAATAAAGTGCGAAAGGGTGAAAGGAAGTATTAGAAAGTTGAAAGGAAGCAAAAGGAAGAAGTAATAGAATTAAACCAATAAATCACAATATACATAAACAAACAATGATCTGCTACTGTACAAATAAGCCAGTTTCCCTTGGGTGACAAAATACACTACATACATATATACATGTAACTGTATATAATCAATAGTATAAATACATGTATATATGAATGTAATATAAATATACATAATTTTAGTAAGTGAGTATGTGCAGGCACAGCCTTCTCTCACTCTATGGCTAAAAGGATTATCAGTTATATTAATAATACTATTAATAGTATAAATAATGATGTCATTTTATGTTAATAGTGAATCAATTAAGGACTACTAATGTAATTATCAAAGTAATCCAGCATTCTTCTTAGAAGATAAACATCACTTCTCTAGGCTATGCACTCGTGCATGCATTACTGTACTGGAGTGTATTTCCTTTTCCTCATAAAACAAGGAGTGCATCAGTGACTTCACTTAGTCACAAATGACTAAACACACAAACAACATGCAAAATGATCATAAACACACAATGCCAGAGCACACAATCCAAACTAAGCCATAAAATGGCCAAGTGCACATTCACATGAACACAATTGGTATGTATGTACATGTACGTGAATGTGGGGATTGGGATTACTGGGATTTGTAATGGAGGGGGATTTGTAATGGAATTATTTGGCAGCTCTCTTGCAAATAAAGAAACAATAAAGCAAAAACAACAATAACCTTATTGTATTACTAAATAACAATTAAATGGACTGACTGCCAAGCCAGTAGATACATGTACATGTACATGTACATGTACATGTACATGTACATACAAACTAATGTAGGCATCTACTATTGATGTACAGTGGAATGTTAGAGTAGGTTTGAAGAATAGGATATTAAGTTACAGTGTGTGTGTTATTAGGGAAAAGTCAACTTAGCATATCGTAATTGCTACTAGAATGTAATTTGATAGTAGAGCTTTAAAATAATAGTAAGTATTATGGTATCAATAAGATAGGCATATAGTACAATCACAAAAGGAAAGGCTATTTCTCTCTCTCTCTTTCTCATCTTTGACTTGTTTTGTCAATACAGCTAATTTCTATCATCAATGAATCCATAACTATAATAGTCCAGCACACACACACACATACTTTATTGGTAATATTGTATTATGATGAAGTATTTATGGTATTACGAGTGCAGCTGGTAAATGGATGACAGGTGCTTTAAATAACGAAAGATCAGAGGCTCGGTTTATGTAACACCAATAATAAAAACAATACCAGCGAGGGGTCATAAACAGAAGCATGTGTTAACTTCTATTTACTGTAGCAGTGAGCCCATGGAGGAATTGGATTTATCCCATAGCAAAATAGAAGAAATGGAGCAAAAATATTTTATGAGAAATAATGGCTGTAATTTCAACTGTATTGTACTGTATTTGGGTGTGAGTTTACTTTGTTTGAGTGCCTGATGGAGTAGAGTGGTACCATTGTGTGACCAAGGAGCTGCTGGCGCAGGAAGGACGAGGAGTAGAGCTCGACCCACAGATCACCAACAATGTGATCAACTTGACTGAGAGAATCAAGAGAGAGGAGGGCAGAGGAAAGTGGAAAAATAAAGGAAAGTTGTATGAGAGAAGAGTAATAGTTGAATTGAATATTTAATGTGACACATTAATGATGATATTGAGTGCCTCTGTCTACACTCAATACTAAGCAAGCACTTTATAGCTATACATTTCTCAGTTTCTCTTACAAGAAAATATCTTCATTCCAGACCGGTTTTGCGAGAGACTGCTTGTTAGTCACCTTGGTTACTTCATTGACACTTGCTCTAACGAAAAGACTCGTCTCTATCGAGGGAGAGAGGAAACACAAACAATAGTGACTGCTGCAATTTGGCAACATGCACTAGCTCTTGCATACCTTCAAGGAGATCTATGACTCCGGAATATACTACAATAGAGAAGACATACACCAGGGTAAAGGATGATAATATGAATAAATGCTTACCGTGGAGACAGAGATTGAGGCTGCTCATCTTCTTGCCCCTTTTCCTTCTCTTTTCTGCATCAAGAAACTTTACAAGTTCCCGACCGGTAACATAATTGCCGGTACAACCACGCCCATAATTTGCGTGCCAAATGAAAATAAAATCATGTTAAAACAGAGTCGATTCTGCTCCAATACAGCAATCATAGACATATTAAAGGATGGTAGCAGTTTATAAACTCTAAGCAGCAGCGTATCATCATTAATAGTTATAATAATAATAACAGTGAGAGACTGCCGGTGCAACTTTTGGTAAACAAAATAGCTAATTGTTCGTAATAAATACTTTCCAAAAGTATAGATAGCCTACAGTCACTTCAAACTTTACACATTGAAAGTGAGCAACTAACAGTAAACACATGAACCTCACAAGGAAGTAGCAGGAGAATAACAATGTGTATGTAGTACATAAGGTTGAATGAATGTAACTCATAGATAGAGGATTATGCAGTACATAATCATACTATGCATGTACTTGGAGATCAGTCTTTTTGTCTATTCTATTTGCTCTCAAAGAGAGATAATTCAATGTACATAAAATAATAATAACAATAATAATTGTTAGAGAGAGACCCAAACAGCACAATAAAAGGAGGAAAGGTTTTATGTCACTTGACAATCACACGACCAAACAAAATGAAAAGACAAAAATACAGCAATAACAATGCCTAATTAATTCTAAATTATATAATCTTTCAATCAATGATGCAAGAGTGTCCTTTATTTATTTATTTATTTATTATTATTGTTGATATCAGCTGTGTGGTTGTTGGTGTTTTTGTGAAGGGTCTGGCTTTGTGCTAGCCTTTCCCGTAAAACTTCTTATTAATGAGGTAGATGAGAAGATTCACGTTTATCTTGGCACGACCAAGGATTTTCATGACGGCCACGCCTTCATATTGCATCTGAAGCAAATCCTAATAAACAAATAAATAAATAAATAATTCGTATACAATTTGTAATGTCTCTTTCTCTCTTTATATTTTTACCTGAAAAACGAGTTCAAATTTATCCAGAGCCACGCCCAAGACACGCCCCTTGACTTCAAAAACGCCAACATCAATTGAAGTAATCTCAATTTGAGCATTCCTGAACCTAATGACAATAAAACATGATACATTATTAGTATCACCAACAAACTATCACAGTATATAATGGAGGGATGAAGAGATATACTCACTGGTGCTTTGGTAGACCATCAATCTCAAGCACAACTCCTTTCTCATGGAGTCTCTGTGCAGTGTACTTCACCGTCTGCTTTTTAAACTCTGTACCACCAGCTGGACCACTGCAAACAATAATTATAATCATAAATAATATAAGTTAAATGTACAATGAGTTTCCTTCTATCACAGCCCTGAATATTTACACATGCAGCTGTTAATTAATCAATTAAGCTTTCAGAAAATTACAAATTTCTGCTACGTACATGTACATGTACACACAATTGTTATATTTCAAGTTATACACTCCAAGCATACATTGTACATGTACATGTATATGTATGTGTACATACAATGCTGACCTGCTTGCTTTGGCAAGACTGTCGAGACATGCTTTAACATATTGCTGGTAGTACTCCATCTGCTCTTCAAAGAAATGCGTCTTTGCATTCAGTTTCTCCATCGTCTCTTGAAGACGCTTCAACTCAAGTTTCCTCTGCTGTCTATGACGATGCTGGTTTCTAATGTCCTATTAATGAAATAAAAGGACATCAAATGCTTCAAAAATACAACCATTTATTTGCATACAACCCGCTGTTGTAACGCTATTATGGGCGTGTCTTAGAGAATAGAGTACCTTGGCAATCGAGTTGATTATTTCTTGATAGTCGTCTTTACTTGATACCATCTCTTCTTGTTCCAGTGACCTTAACTGTCTCATGATCTTACGCTTCATTCCCTCAATGGGCAAACTGAAATATAGTAAAGGAGAGAGAGAGAGAGAGAGCATAATTTATGTAATAAAATAATAGAAATCCATGTTGTTGAGGACTTTATCCCAGCCATTTTTGATGGCATAGATGGTCAATTTTGATCAACTTTAAAAATTCAAAAAAATCCAAATTTTATCGGAATCAGCTCAAACTTGCTATGCAACATAAAAACATGTATATGTATCAGAAAAAATTATTAAAATGGAGAATTCTCTCATAGTCAATTTTGGCAAATTTTGGCCAAAGTCCCTGTACTATACTTTGGCTCAATTTTGGAGTAACTTTAAAAATTCGTTAAAAATCCAAATTTGATGAGAATTAGCTCAAACTTTCTACAAAACATAAAAACATATATATGTATCAGAAAAAATTATAAAAATGAAGAATTCTCTCCTAGTCAATTTTGGCAAATTTTGGCCAAAGTCCCTGTACTATAGTACAGGGACTTTGGCCCAATTTTGGAGTAACTTTAAAAATTCATAAAAAATCTAATTTTGATCGGAATCAGCTCAAACTTGCTACACAACATAAGAACATGTATATGTATCAAAAAAAATAATAAAAATGAAGAATTCTCTCCTAACCATTTTTGACGAAATTTGGCATAAAAGTTTCTTACTATTATAACTACATGTACATCTACAACTCTACTAATTTTCATAAAATATACAAAAACCAATAGCTCACTCTCTGTCAGTGTAGACGGAGTCCGCCTGTGATAGAGACAAGCTCTTGTTGGCCTTATCAGCCTCTTCCCTTTCCTTGATCATCCTCTGGTGCTCCTCCTCCTGCTCGGGTGTCGCCGGCGTGTACAAAATGTCCGTTAGATTATCGCCTGCTTGGACACGAAGGAGATCAACAACCATCCTCTTAGTACGGACAAAGAGAGCCTTCATGTCGCTGCTGTCGTCCGCCTTTGCCTCAAATTTGTTGGTGAGGGTCAGTGCAAGTTCCTGCTTGGAGGCTTCGTTAATGATGTCTTCCTTGTCCTCATTAGGAGCGGCTTCTCTCACGCCACCTTAACAGGGAGTAAAATATGGCGCATAACATTAGGAAAGAGGTGTTTCAAAATTCTTATAAACATGTACATATGTACATGTACATGCATGTATGCACTCTACGATACCTAATAGTGCTTCAACTGACGGTATTGCTCCAAGGTCCTTCAATATGTCCCTCAAAGGATCACTGGGCTCTGGAGCCAAAGCTTCTTCGTGCTCCACTAGCAGCTGTATAATATACAGAAGTATACTGACATGCACAAAAATATACTGAGATGTACAAACAAAGCATTCTAAAAAGTATAGTCAAAATCACTCTTCCAAATATTATGTTAAGAGTATATAGTGTTATGCGTTAAAAGTATACTGAGATATGCAAAGTTTTACTAAGATATACAAGCTTACAGTATGGGTACGTAGGACCTCCTTGACAGTTATATAAATGACAGGTCTGGTGACCATTATGACATCAGTGTACTCATCATAACCAAACTTCTGATTAGGTGGATCAACAGTAGAGGCAGCTAAGAAGAACTGCTTGAATCTTCCAAATGCTTTTTGAATGTAACCGTTCATGGAAGAAAGAGCAGCATTCTCACCCTCAAACTGAGAGAGAGAGACAGACAGAGAGAGAGAGACAGACAGACAGACAGACAGACAGACAGACAGACAGAGAGGGAGGAGAAAGAAGGAAATATAGAAATTAAAAGTACAAATTACGGTATAAATAAATTACATGGATGTACACACATTGCATCATTATTTATAATCAAAATTCTTTCTATTCTCATACGCATACACGCTTCCTTTTTAGAAAATGATTTCAAGATAAGGAAACACTTACACAATAACATAAAAAGAATGTTTGGCATACATGCACCTGCACATTCTATTTATAAATACATGTACATGTATACATGTATGTACATGCTCTTTGCTTACAAATTTTCCTGCTGCAGCGTGTTGAAGTACTTTAGCAATGGCACCAAGATTACGTCTCTGGTCTGGTTCAAGGACCCTCTTCTCCACTCCCATGTCAATAATATCAAATGCATCAGGCGCCACTATTGCTGGATTCATGTAGCGGTAGTACAACAAATTACCAACAACCTAGGGAGAGAGAGAGAGAGAGAGAGAGAGAGAGAGAGAAAAGAGGTTCAAGTACATGTACTCATCATGTACATGTATATATATGTGTAAAAAATATACATGTACATGTACATGTAAGGTAAAAAATGAGAAACAGAATGAGGGAGATATACGTGTATATGGAATGAGAAATAAGCTGAGATGTACATGTACATGTAACGTACATGTGCATGTATTTCTAGTACTAACCTTTAGAACATCATCCTCATCGGACTCAGGGAACTTCTTATGAAGAGCTTGACGGAGACACATGGCAATGTAACGCATAGTGTATCTATAGCAACAGTCATGTGACACAATAAAAATGAATTAACAAAGACGCAATACATGTACATGTGCACATTTAGAGGCGACATGTGTCACTTACGGTATTCTGCCAACACTAGCAAGTATGGTCGTTTGAAATTTCTCTGTAGCGTCTATCAGCACTTGAATGGTTTGACCTATTCTCTTCTTAACCTCTTCATGACCCAAGGCTTGGTCATTGGAGACCTCATATGGGAGTTTTCTGGTAATAAAGGTAACCATGGTAACAATCAATGAATAATGAATGAGGAAATGTGAGAAGAAAAAGTGAAATTTTGCTTTTAATTCTGAGCATGCTTAAAATGACATACATGTATGTGACCAATTAAATGTACATGTAAGCAGCAAATCCAACAATTAGTTTTATTGAATAATTATTTTTATTGATATACATGTACACATGTATACTATAGTGAAATATCCATAAACATGTAAGCATATGTACATGTACATGTACATTTTTCACTTACGATTTCTCTCCAGTCTCACTCTCCATCTGATTGATCCATGCCTTGTACACATCCACAGGACTGGTATTAAGTACCAGGTCCTGTTTCTCCAGTATTTCCTTAACCAGCGGAGCCAGTAGCTCGCGTAGTACAGTGTGGCCTCCTTCGCTCTCACTCCGAGTGAAGTGGATCACCATCTTGATGACCGTCGGATTGCCAGTTATGATATCTTTCAATGCAAACACTTTTGATCTTGAGAGAAGAGGGAAGGGAAAGGAATCAACAAACGCCCAACATGTACATGTACATGTAAAAAACATGTACATGTAATTCAGTAAATCTTCATCTAATACCATCATACACTATAGTACAAAATGAGCCCAAGGCATTCTTATGCATGTACATGTACATGCACTGTATTAATTAACTGTTTTTTTTACTGTTTATTCAAATTGATTGGGTACAGGGACTATTATACAATAATGCAAATGTCCCATTCAAAAATTTTTTTCCATTATCTTCAATAATTGAGTCATCATTGCACAGCTAGTCCATGGAGCTTATATACTCTTATTTTTGAAAAGGCTATCATGGGTTGCACCTACACCTATTCAGTAAAGCTATTCATAGACCTGTGGTCATACCATTTTAACCACAACAGTCTAAAAAGCACAGCTAGGCTATGCAAACATAACGTATTGTAGTGCAATAAAAATACATTGTAAATTAATGTACATGTACATGTGCATGTAGTATACTCACTCAATTTCTTCAAATAGAGCAGTCTCAAATAGTTTAACGAGGAGATACTGTTCTCTGTTATTCTGTGCATAGTTCAGTACAGTCAATATCACGTTCTCCATAAACTTGTTTGTCCTGTTGGGCGACATTTCAAATATCAGCTTAGCAAAGTATCTTGGCTCAGTTTGGAGAAGGTAAAAGAGATATTGGTAAGCCTAGAAAGAGAGAGAGAGAAAAATAGAGAGGAAGAAAAAAAGAGAGAAAGAGAGAGTGGTCACAAAAATTTATGCAATGCTAATCTACAAGCTTTCACAGTAGCAATAGATACATGTACAAACGTACATAAAATAATCAATTTAAAAGATAAATGAAAGATTTACAAATGTATAATGTAAGTCTTTTCTTCCTTTCATACTTACTTCAATCTTCTCTTGACTTGATTTGGAGAGACCTCTAAGTCCACCTACCGACTCTTCATCATCATCTTCACTAGTAACAGCTGCTCTGCTCTTCCCCCTTTTCCTGTTCCGCCTCATCTGATCAGTCTGAGAGACAACATCCTTGAGAAAGAGGGGACAAAAAGGAAGAATTAATACAGAATTTAATTGGTTAAAAATCAAGCCAAAGTCCCTGTACTATAGTACAGGGATTTTGGCCAAATTTCGCCAAAAATGACTAGGAGAGAATTCTTCATTTTTGTAATATTTTTTGATACATATACAAGTTCTTATGTTGTGTAGCAAGTTTGAGCTGATTCCGATCAAGTTTGGATTTTTTATGAATTTTTAAAGTTACTCAAAAATTGGGCCAAAGTCCCTGTACTATAGTACAGGGTCTTTGGCCAAATTTTGCCAAAAATGACTAAGAGAGAATTCTTCATTTTTGTAATATTTTTTTATACATATACATGTTCTTATGTTGTGTAGCAAGTTTGAGCTGATTTCAATCAAGTTTGGATTTTTTATGAATTTTTAAAGTTGCTCAAAAATTTGGTAAAACACCCCATACTATATAACACCCTGTACTATATAGTACAGGGGCTTTGGCCAAATTTCATCAAAAGTGAAAAGGAGAAACTTTTCAGCTTTTATAATTTTTTAAATACATATACACATATATGTTCTTATGTTTCAATTTTGAGCTGATTCTGATTAAGTTTGGATCTAAGTTGCTCCAAATGCCATGTACTATTGTAGTGCTTTTTAGCCCATGAATTTAGCTCACACTTAGCATGCTTTGTGGGAAACCCTGCTTGTTACAGTAACAAAAACTCACTTGTATAGTTAGCCTGTTCTTCACTAACAGTCCGATTTTAAGATCAATCACTCTGAGGTCTTGCTCCAGCTGCTGGTTTGAGCGGATCTGCTGAACAACTTCAGATTTCAGCTTCTGACACTCGATCTCTTCCGTGAAATCAAGATCACTTTGTTCGAGGAGAGACAAGAATTTACGGACGGCAGAGGCTGGAGGTTGAGTCACTTGTACTATAAATTTAACAAAAAAAATAATAATGTAATTTTTTTATTTCTCATACCCAGTTGCTTGTAATCTTTCTTTGTCTTTTTTGCCCTCCAGAATGTCTGAATCCTCACCACAGCAGCGACGTTGCTCTTGAAGAATTCGAGTCTTTCTCTGTATCTCCTTCTCTGTTGACACATCCTAGCCCAGGATTGTAGCTATAGAGAGACAAAAAGAGAAAAAAATGACAAACATGTACATGTAATTTTCCATGGTAGCATCATAAATGTACATAAATATAATTTTTTTTCAACATCTCACATGTACATGTAGATGTACATGTACATTTACAAGGGGATTTTTACGTTTAATTTTGCAAATAAAAATATACAAAATTTTATGGTTAACCCTTGGCATTTTTGACAATAAATGCACATGTACATATATCCTACAAGATCCACCCACACACATAATTAACTCACTAAACCCGCCCCCACACACTCACCTTAACAATGATGTGGACGCTATTAACAAGTAGGTCCTTCCTCTCTTTGTAAGCTGTTCTCTGTTTGAATCCGCGCCACTGGGCCTGGAGCTTAACAGCTTCCTTCTCGTGTGATTTCAAATAGTCCATTCTCTTTTTAAAAGGTCTCCTCACTAATGCTCCTCTCCAATGAGACTGGAGGGATACTATCAGTGGCTCGTTGGCTTTCAGGAGAGCCCAACGATCAAAATCTGCAGTTACTTTAGTCACAATATTCTATGAGAGAGAAAGAGAGAGAAGAATGAAATATTACTAAAAATAAAAGTAGCAACTTTCGCCCCAAAGTGGGTGAAAATTTTCACCTAAATGTACATTGTACATGCACATGTACATGTAAGTAACATTTCATGTACATCATATTTCACAAGTACAAGTGTACTGTTTCTTCTCTCAAAATTATCATGTACATATACACATACATTATCTCCTTCCTCTTACTTGTATTTCTTCCTTTGACAAGTCACTGGAGACTCCAGACCAACCCTCAGGATATACCCAGGAGTGTTCTCCCGTCCCGTTGTCATAGTAACAAGTGTACCCATCTCTCGTCTTGTGCTCGCTCCACCCACTGACTGCAGCTTCGGCTAAAAAAAATAATAATAAAAATTTAGACCATTATCCATTAAAATTAAATGTGGGTGACTTAATAGGAAAATCATGCAAAAATTTCAACTAAAAGTTTATAAGTTCTTTACTTGTTGATTTTTCACTTTTAGCTTGCGATAGTTTCTGATGGTAGGTATCAGAGCATTCCTCTGTGATTGATCTCAGCATCAGATCACTTGATTTTAACGCAGTTAGTATTGATGCAGAATCACTTGATTTCACCATTTCATTGATCTCGTGAACAGCCTTGGCCACTAAAATCAAGAAAAATAAATAATAAAGTTAATATGATTTTAGTTTTGTCCACTGCTCATGACCACACCCACTAGTGTGACCACACCCACTTTTAATAGCTTCCTTAGTTTGCTCATTTGCTTTGTGAATGACGGCTTGTATTTCTTCTCTTGTCAATGTAGCAGACGAATCACCAGTTCTCTATCATAACAATACATAATAACCATTAATAACTATTAATAATTGTTAATAACTACAAATTACCAGTGCATAATATTTGAATAAAAATTTAAAAAATTTTAATGACAATGTACTACATGTACATGTACATCTACTAGATGTACCTCAATTTTAGAAGCAAGAGCAGCTTTCATCAACGAGACATAATGAGGAGACACGTCACCATCAACCTCTTCAAGACTAATGTGCTCATTAATTAGAGTACTCAAGACAGTCGAGGAATCACTGGAGGAGAGGGCGGAGTTTATAGAGGCCACACCCTCAGCCACTAAAATAAAATAATATAAATAATAAAAATAATAATAACACATGTTCCATACTTAGTCTCTCAGCTTCTACTTGTCTATTGACTTCTTCAATGGAACTAACTATCTCCTCTTTTGTGAGTGGCTATAAAAGAACACGTATACAGTACATTATGTCCTTATCATGTGATGATCAGGTGACCACTAACCTCTCCTCCCTTTTCTGCTTGAGTTTCTTTGAGTTTAGCATGATACTGATCAATGCTTGATTCGGCGATGATATGAGAAAGATCAGCATTCGAATCAAGTAATGAAGTCAGAGTCTCTTGAGGTGAATCACTACCAATTGACTGGTTGATCTTTTGATAAGCAAGAGCAACTGAACAAAGAGAGAGAGAGAGGGAGGAGGAGAGAGAGGGGGAGAGAGGGAGAGAGAGAGAGAGAGAGAGAGAGAGAGAGAGAGAGAGAGAGAGAAAGAGAGATGATATTCAAAGTAATAAAAATAAAGTTTCATTGTTTACCAAGTCTATCTTTGTCTGCCCTCTCGTTGCAGCTGTGTATTTCATCTTCAATTTCATCTTCTGTGAGCAAACAGGACGCATTCCCAGTCTAAAATATACACAACAGAATCACATTCATTAATAATAACACATACCATCAATAATGCATGCAGTGCTACTACAGTACAGTGTACTACACAAACCAAATACATGCACATACATGTACATGTAACTTGTATACTATACATGTAGTTACTGAAAATGTATACCACACATAATTATACAGACCACAAAACAATAATTAAGATTACAAGAATATACTGAAATATTGTATGGGTCAAAATTTACAAAAATCCCATCTTTATTGTTGTGCTTTTAACTGCTTACCTTTTCTCTCTTTTGTCTGAGTCTTTCCTTGAGTCCATCAGCGTAATACTGAGCGTTCGCTGGTATAACAGAGAAATGTGAGATATGTTCATTTTGAAGCATTTGAAGGATATCCTCTGGAGCAGATCCATCAGATAGTGACTTATTGATAGTAAGAACAGCTGCCTCAACTAGGAGGAAGGGGAGGGAGGGATACAATCCACATGTGTAAAAAGAATAAAGACGGCATTGTTTATTTTTAAAAATTAGGAAAAAATCGAAGTCCAAAAAAAATTAAAAAGTTATAAAAAATTATACATACCCAGTCTAGTGTGCTCTGCTATCTGATTGGCCATCAGTATGATATCCTGAATCTCCTCGTGTGTCAGGTCTTCATTACCATTCTAAACACAAATAATCACATGAGAGGCACATGCCGATCACATGCTTTGGACAAACCTCTCCATTCCCGGCTCTAGTTTTAGACAGTATATCCTGATACCAGCGAAGGTTCTGAGGTGTGACGTCTCTAAACCCCGCCCCTTCGTCTTGGAGGGAGTTAAGCAAAGCAGTCATGCTTCCCTTGGTGACTGCAGCATTGATCAGTAGAACACACTCGGTCTCTGATAGGAAGAATGGAAGAGAAGTAGTTTATATGAGAGAATAAATGAAGGAATAAAGTAAGAGAGAGAGGGGGAAAGGAGGAAAGGAAAGAGGGAGAGAGAGAGGGGGAGTAGCTCACGTTTAGCTTGTCTAGCCTCTTCCTTTACTTTATCATTCACTGATTGTACACATGACTGGATCTCACTCTGTGTCAACAAGAAATCATAAGCATCAGCTTCAGACACATCACCCTCATCAGCAGAACCTATAGATCAATAAATCATTTCAATATACATGTACAGTACAGTGTATAAAACTTTAAAAATTCATAAAAAATTCAAACTTAATCGGAATCAGCTCAAACTTTCTACACAACATAAGTACATGTATATGTATCAGAAAAAATTATAAAAATGGTAAATTCTCTCCTTTTCAATTTTGGCAAAATTTGGCCCGAGACCATGTACTATAGTACAGGGACTTTGGCCTGATTTTTGAGTATAACTTTAAAAATTTATAAAAAATTCAAACTTGATTAAAAATAGCTCAAAATTTCTACGCAACATAAAAACATGTATATCTATCAAAAAAAAAACTATAAAAATGGTAGATTCTCTCCATTTCATTTTTGGCAAAATTTGCCCCCCATCTGTCAGAGATACAAACCCTTTTTATTTGGTGAGCCACCTTTTGCTCACCAAATATGGAAGTCTTACTTAATACTATAATAAAAAGAATTTTAAATGAACAATAATAATTAAATGACATGTAGACACAATATGTTAAACAATTAAAATAAAATAAAGCAATAATAAATTAATAATTATAAAGAAAGACAACGTACAATGAGACATCTGTTAAAGTCACAAAAAATACCTTTTTTGTCCTTCTTTGTTGATTCCAGTGACGACTGATAGCGTGGGCTATTCTCTGGCTCAATGTCCTCAAGGACAGCAGCTGGGTTCTGTAACTTAGCCAACGTAACTGTATGATCACCACCATCAATAGCTTCATTAATAGCTAAGACTGCAGCATGTACTGAGGGACGGAAGGAGGAAGAGAGAGAGAGAGATGAAAAAAGAGAGAGAAGTAAAAACAAAAACGAATTAAAGAGAGGTCAAATAAAATAAATTAAGTTCATCCATCCACTCACTTGCTGCTTCGTCCACTGATAGCTACGAAAGATACAAAAATCCCGTGAACATTAAGTGATAATCCCATGATCAGCTTACCTCACTGGCGAGGATGCCACCAATCTTACCAAAGGACGGCATTGTGATCCCATACTTATCCAGCTCAGACTTCATAGCACTAATCTCTTCCTCTACACATGTACATGTATACAGTCACATGATAGTCACATGATAGTCACATGGTATTGGGTACTCACGTGTAAAGACGACAGTCCCAACTAGGTTCTCTATTTCTGGAGCTTTGCCAAGTTTGTGAAGATAAATACTGTGAGGAAATGGAGAGAGAAAGAGAGAGAGAGAGAGGGGGGGGAGGCAAAGAAAGAATTAAAAGTATTCATAACGTCATAAATATGTGCATAGTGTAACTAACATTGAGTATACACCAACAAATAACATTCACATTCAAATAATAACACATACAAGTCCAATCACCATACACACATACATGTACATGTATATGCACATTACATGTACATGTGTCAGTGTTGAAACAGTACTGTATACATTAAACACTGTTGGATCAATAACTTGGCAGACATCATTAAAGAAACACACCTAACAGACCATACACATACACACGACACCACCCAAAATAGCATCCCCCAATCTATATACACTGTATCCATCTCTTCCTATCATTTTCAACTAACAGCTGCTACTAGAGGAGCTACTTCAATAAAACAAACTGTTTCTGAAATGATTAGCTATAGTTTTACCATTGGATGCATCCAAATAATGACTCTGACTGTTCAAACAAGAGACTATAGCTGAGAACAAACACTTGTACTTGTACTGTATATTGAATTACAATAGTTTATGTACATGCTATCATGCTATACAGGGAATTCTGCCCATTGGCAGCTAGAGACAGTAAAAAAATAATTATCCAACAATGTACTCTCTTGTCCAATAACAAATGAAGACAACAGAATGACAAAAAGGCCCCACTCTCCTCCCTTTGTCCCTGGTATAATATGTACCTCAATGCATGAATGCAGTAGATAACTCTTGGCATGTTCTTCTTATCATATAGATCAGTTGTTTCAGGATAAAATATCTAAAGAGGAACAAGTCATGTCCTACTCTGTGTGACTCTAACCTCAGGTAGGCCAATGTGACGCAGTGACTTGAGCCAGTAATTGAAATTGTCGGTATGCTTAAAATGTAAACCTTTCAACTGTGAGAAGTAGAGAAATAGTGGGAAAGAGGAAAAGGAGAGAGAGAGAGAGAGAGAGAGAGAGAGAGAGAGTCACAAGATTGCACGAGCTGTTCTTACCGCAAGTCTTGACCCATCAACGTCATAGATTTTCTTCAATGGAAGTACTTCTGGCGCATACCAATA